TTTAGTCTCAATCATTTTTCAAGAAAAGACACAAGATAAAGGCATCCTGGTCCCGTGTTAACCCTTCCTTAACTTATTATTTATAAAGCATAATATATGACCCGTGAATTAAGAATTTCTACTTATAATTAAGATTAATTGGAGAGAAGCAATTGATCAAGCTAATCAAAACCCCAACTAAATAAGCATTAACCAACCAAAGAAGATATATGAGAAAAAGTAATTTTGAAACTACAACAAAATTACGAGAAGGGTATAAAATATGCAAATGTCATCAAATTCAAATGAAATTTATATCAAATGATATCGATTGTACAGAAAAATCGCACAGAAAGTTGGAACTCCTAAATTGATATCATAATGGAAACCTGTCACTGAAGGCCATACGCTTCTTTGAAATTAAATGAGACCAAGCTTGTTAGTGATAATCGTCTCTAATTTCTCCTTCCAACGCAAGGAAGCATTGGAATTGGAATAATTTGCATATATTGCATAAGAAAGCATATGAACATGACGGTAAAGGGAAGTAGATGATGGTGACGGTGCAGGATTCGCACAATTGCTCCTTGGAGAAAGGTGTATGAAGAAGGAGCACGTTCAGAAAACGTACAAAGGGTACCTTTGTTATTGTAACCTAATGTATAAGGTAAGTATTGTCTTTATACACCTCTTATAAATTACACTTAGATCTTAAGAAATTTTAATTATAGTTTTTAAATTTCATGAGATTTATTTGTAATAATTTTTTTATACAAGACCTATACGTAATTTGTCCTGTTATTATTTTACTATTTTCAAAAGCATGATATGACCTTATATTTATAAATTTATTTTACCTCAATTCAATTTTAGAATAATTTTATCATCTCAATTTTATGTCGAATTGAGACAACAATGTTGACGTGTGTTTTCTATCAATATTGTAAATTAGCTGAGAGGTTATGCTGCTTCATGATATTACAAAGAGTAATAAAAAAGAAATGGTTGTAAGTACTTATGATTGTGAAACAATACAGATAATGTGCACCTCCACACCGATGGGTCGGTGTTGAATAATAACTCTTCAGCGTGTGGTGGTGTCATCATGCATGTAGCGGAAAATTGGGTCAAGAAATGTGTGGAATAATCAAAGGTTTGGAATTATATGCTGTCACCTAGTTTACTAATTGTACAACAACTATAAACCTACTCATTTGAGATTTAATTGATGGTCACTCCTTCCAGGGTATCAGCCAAAGGAGTCGTAAGTTACTTTTCTTCACTTGGAACACTTCAATTTATTTTACTTATCAGCATTTGAATTGTACCATCACTAGTTTAGCTAGGAACAGTTCTAGTTCTACTCATGATTTTTGTATCTTTGATCAACCTCAGTTTTTATTACTAAAAATAGTGGTTGATGAAAGCTTTATGTTTCTCTAGGTCGGTCTATTTTATTTGCTGCTGTATGTTCTTTTGAATATATGATACCCTTTGGATTAAAAAAAAAAATACAGATAAGGTTGTCTTTATCAGATCCGAAAGGAATTTGCTAATCATCTCACTTGCTCATAAGTCCCTTTGGAGACGATTTCACAACGGCATTGCGATGTAATAATTGATGCGAGGCATTTCATTGACTAAAATTACGAAACTTGGTTTGAAAGAATTACCAAACTTAATGAAAGATAATATAAAATCCTTACTCATTGCCGACCTGTCGGAATTCTCAGAGATATCAGAAAAGCACCGTGAATGGGCATTAGCAAATTGAAATAGTAATGCAAGCGTGTTTGGATTCCGTTCCTATTTTTGTTTTCAAAAATTCTTTTGCAATGCAAAATAAAAACCATTTAACTATGCTAATTTTAAAAATAATTTTAAAATTAAAAAATAGACTAATAATAATAGTTATAATCGGTTAATGATGATAATTTATAATAAACATTGATCAAAGTAATTATAATTTTCAATAATCAATTGTAATGTATTTTGAAAATAAGAAAAATAAAACAAAAGCCACTTGAATTTGTTTCTATTTCCATGTCTTTAAAAACGAAAAATGAAAATAATCTTAAAAACAATAAATCAAAAATACGAATTCAAACAAATTTTTAAATTTTTCTGTTTTTAAAAGTAAAAAATATTTTTAAAAACAAAAAACAAAAGGTGCTTTGTAAAAGGAATCCATGTTAGAGTCAGTAATTTGAATAGAGCAGGCTTATTCAGATTGGGCTTGAAATCTCTTATTTTCATTTTAAAAAGCCCATATGACTAAGCCCATTCCTAATATCTTCGGCCTTATTTGGGCTAGCCCGAATACCGACACTTTTTAAAAATATTTTTTCTTTATTTTTTGAATTAATTTTAATTTTTAAATAATTCTACATTAGTGCAAAAATCATTTTTCGCCACAATTAAGATGTATTTTTGGCGACGAAAGATGTTGTGTAGTAAAAAATTTTATGATAGTAAATAGATATTTTTCACCATAAGTCAAAAGAAACTGTGGCGAAAGATGTATTTTTTGCCACAAGTCTCATCTAACCTGTGACAAAAAACACAATGGTAAAAAATATTATTTTTTATTGTAGGCGAGTTTGGACCTGTGATGAAAGACCGCATCTTTCACCACAAGTTCAAGATCACTTGTGATGAAAAATAAGAGAAAAATATAATGTTTTGCCATAAGTTTGTGCCCACCTATGGCAAAAAATTTTATGGCCATAATTTTAGGTACAACTGTCACCATAAATAACTTTTTACCATAATTATTGTAATAATGTGGCTATAAATATTATATTTTTTTTACTCATACCACTATACATATATACATTCCTTACTTATAAAAAAACTCAGAAACAGCAACTCTAGATATCAATACAAATATATCTAGTGAACACATATAAACTAAAAATTTACATTTCTAATACAAAACATATAAAAAGCTTCTACTCTAATCTTGTTAATTCTAAGAAAAAATAAACCACAAATTGTATATATGTCTCAACTCTAGAATATGGCTCTAAACTTTGAAAGTATTATATATTTAGTAACAATATATACATGAATAATAACTCAAGTACATGGCAAACTTCATAATTATAAATCATTATTTATAAATTATTACATGATCAAATGAGTGAATAATATCTTAAGTGATGATTTTCATATATGAAAATTATCACATAATAACCACACTCTGCACTTCATAGTTGTTAAAGACACTATAAAGAAAATAAAAATAATTAAATTCATTAAATTAATATTATAATATTCATTCTAATTAAGAAATAAATTTAAAATATTTACTTCCATTGGTACAAATTAATATGTCTAAAATTCAGATATACTTTCAGTGACAGGCCCCTCGTGCTTGTGGCTGAAGGAGTTTTGATCAGAGATATTAATGTGCCTAAATTTCAGACATTTTTAGAAATTTTAAAATGTTTGAAATTTAGACATATAGCTTTAGTAAGGCTATCAAAATTCAAACAATTTAAATTCAAAATTCAAAATGTCTTAATTCAAACATAAATAAGTAAATTATTTATTTAAAAATTTAATCTTAATAAATTAAAATAAAATTTAGTAATTAATAATCTAATTGTAATAAATTATGAAATAAAATTCATTCCGTATTTTTATTTTAGGTAAATTAATTTGTCTTAAATATTACTTTATTAATTAAAAATAATTAAGATTATAATTGAATTTATTCTAGTTATATTTCATATTAGTTACATTTATGTAATAAACAATTGAGTAATAATTTACTTTAACTAATTAATGAAATTAAATTATTTAATTTTTTAAATATTTCTCATAGTAATTTATGCGATAGACAAGATTATGGCTATAAATGAAATACTTTAAGCATTTAATTATGAATAAACCACTTACTCATATATTGCATAGGTTTTTGAGAAACTGTGATAAAAAATATGTCATTAAAATTTTATTTTGCACTAGTGCTATTAAGCATGAAATATTATTTTAACTTTAAAATAATAATAAAAAATAACTTATCAATTTTGTATTTAAAAACAGAGTTATTGTTTTTTTTGTATTATTTGTAATTTATTCATGAATGTTTATTTACTTATAAATTAATATCTTAATTATTTAAATATTACTCTTATTATAGTCGTATATAAATATTTTATATATTTTAATTAAATTATATTTTTTAATTATGATTAAGTTGATATCAATTCAATCACACTTAGACTATTAATTTAAAATTATTATCTTGATTAGTTTAAAATTTTTAAAATTTTAGATAAATTATATTTTTTATTCATAAATATAAAAAAATAGCCATCATTATATTATATAAAGCAAAATTATTTAATTATGAATAAATTATTATTATTTTTGAAATTATTTTTCTTTAACTTTTTATATTGTTTAACTCTTATATATAACATATTTTTACTCTAATTTATTTTTAATTTTTAACCAAGTTTAGCATGAACAATAGTCAAGTAATTATTTAAGAATATTATTCTATTTATGATATTTATCTAATAGTAGAGTTAAAAATTCGTACATGTCCAAATTTTATTTTTAAAATTATTTTTATTTTTACCTAAAATTAATCATCTTAATTTGTAAAAAGTATAAAATTAATTTTTTTATACGCAAATGATGTATAGGACTCAAAACTGTTTTAAAAAAATTGGGTCTTAAAATATAAAAATTAATATTAAAATATATTTTAAATATTATTTTGAGATATTGTATTGATTAAAAATAAAAAATATGAAAATATAAATATTTTTTAAAAATAAATATATTAATACACACAAATATGTAGTATTTTGATATAAAATGTATAAAACATAAAAAATTAATTAATATTTATATATTTTATATATTTTTTTAAAATTTATTTTTTTATTCGGATATTCGGACTAAGTTGAACCGATCGGGCTTGGCCTAAAAAAAATAGCTTGACTTTAAATTTTTTGAATAGATTCAGGTTGGCTCATCGAGGCCCAAACCATGCCTTCTTGATGTCAGGCAACTTTGAATCTGGTATTGCCCATTCATAGTCTTTGGCATCTAGCTTGCGTACTTAAATGTGTTTTTCCATCAAGCCGATGTAATCTTACTACTCTTCGGTTCTTCCAGAGAAAAACTGAGATAAATCTTGGAGCATGGGTAAAAAGAAAATACAACAATCCCTCTCGATACTAAAGCAAATTTCAAAGATGACCCCAAATGGCTTCCGTGAAATCAGTCGTCGTGGAAGTGCCGCCAAGGTCAGCGGTACGATGTTTCCCTTCTGCTGTTGTGTTGAGAATGGCATTTTGAATCTGCTCCGCTTTGTCATTGAACTTACAAATGGCGCAACATTGAGACAGCACTCAGCAGCAAGGCAGTCAGATTCGCCAAGTTCTGTTAAAATCCAGATTAAACATGGCAAAACAATAAAATAGCTCTAAAAGAAATGTATATTTCAAAAGGAAGAAAGCAGTGGCCATAGTGTATCATAAAAAGGATGTTCCGGCAAATAAAGGTGGAAGCCAGTAACATTTTAAAGGGGACTTAAGATATATATATATAATCTTACACTCATCTTTCTTGAGAGTACTGAATTTAATTTTGGTTTCCCATTAACCAACCTCATTTTGCGAACCAATGCACACACCAATGGTCATCTCGAGAGCCCACAAGTAGTTATTACTGCATTAGAACTTTCCTTTGTTCCATTGAATGCTAAAGGTTTATTAGAAAGGCAAGCAATGCTACAGGAATCCCAGCAATTCCCATGTGGCCAGATGCCAACTTGACCAAAACATCTCCACCACGTTGACTTGATTCACCCAAGGAACGTCCAACACCACAGGTCTCCGCTATTCGATAGACGACTAATGTATCAGCTCTATTGACAAGGTCTGAGCTCTTATTCTACAACTTCTTTTCACCCACTTCATCAGCCCCTCATTTTGAGATGCTCTTTTCCTTTCCATAATTTGTATTATGCTAATTCTATAGAAGTATCAGGGACTTCTGTGCATCTATTAATAAGATTGCGCGTAGATGTTAGACTAAGATACAAATAGAAAACTATCGTGTTTCAACAAATAGTTTGATTGGATGATCTAAAGTTGAACTGAACAACCACAGCGTTAAAAAACCAAAATAATTGTAACGTAGTGGATAATTTAAATTTTGAATTTATTCTAATCTGTCCAAATTGTTTATATTCAGAATTTATATAAATTAAGCTAAAATAATGAACGTCATGGTAATTATTTTGTTTACAAGATCCATATTTAAATTAAAAAATGGATGAAAATAAACTAGCGTCAATGAAATTTGCACTTAAGGACATTTGAATGATATAGCATATACACATTTGGGATGGGCTGAATAGGAATAGACATTTAGAAGTGATTACATCACAAAATAACATTTTTTATAACAAAAGCCTGTATCTCGCTGCCACACAGACGATGGGCAACAATGGAACTTGAATATTTTTTATAATGCAGCATTCAATTACAAGTTCCATGAGACAATTTCTATGACTGCTTCACATGCAAAGACTATATAACAAAAGAAAAGCATTGCCAGGAGTAGTAATTCCAACACTGAAACTAACAGATAGGAAGAGGAGCTCCATTCCACTGCCCAAGGCATTCCAGAAGAGGATCGATGATCTTGCCCTGGCACAAAGCCGTGAAGACTTTGTCACACTCTTCACCTGGTGACCCCGTCTTCTCTCCAGTAACCAGCCCAGTTCCTAAATCCTCTCTCACGAACTTGTACAATGGGTAGGACCTGCATTCCTTGATCTTGTTTGAAACTGATGAGTTGCCGTTCTCGTATGCAATTCTCGCACTTTCAACCTCCTTTGGCAGCACAGCCTTCAACTCCTCCTCAAATGTTGCAATCTTTTGGAAGACTGACGTGCTCGAGTTCTTCTCATTTTCCCCATTTGCCAGCGCGTGATCCACCAGAACTTGCCTCAGTTTCTGCATCAGCGGGTAGGTAGCACTGGTGGGTTCGTCAATGTAAGCAAATACGTGCTCCCGATCCACCACTTTCAGCAAATCTTTCTCACAGAATCTTGAAGGATGGAGTTCTCCGCTAACCCCTGTGGTAAGAGTTCTCTTTGCCACCTGACTCACGGTACTCCTCACCGTGCTCTTCAAATTCTCCTCCAAATGCCTCAGGTCAATTGCTTGACACAGTGCAATGAGGTATGTCGCGGACATGAGCTTCAGGATCTCAATTGCTTCATTGGTTTTTCTGGATGAAATCAAACCCAGCGAGTTCACATCCTGATTGTGTTGCTCAGCACTTTGGACGTGGCTTGTCACTGGGTTTGCAAGATACTGAAGCTCAGAGCAGTAAGACGCCATGGCGATTTCAGCACCCTTGAAACCATAGTCCAAGCTGGGGTTTCTACCGGCAGAAAGATTTGAAGGCAGGCCATTGTTATAAAAATCATTGACTAGCTCAGAAAATTGAGCAAACATGAGTTTCCCAATAGATGCGAGAGCCAACCGAGTATTGTCCATGGAGACTCCGATCGGGGTTCCCTGGAAATTACCGCCGTGCAGAGCCTTGTTCCTTGAAACGTCAATCAGAGGGTTGTCGTTCACAGAGTTGATCTCCCTCTCAATGGATTTGGTGGAGAATCTGATTACTTCAACCAGAGGACCGAGCCACTGGGGTGAAGTTCGAAGCGCGTAACGATCCTGTTTAGGCTTCTGAAGGGGATCAATCTCGTGCAACTTCTGAGCTGCTTTAATGTAGGAGCTTCCATTCAGAATGTGTTCCATTATAGCAGCAGCCTCAATCTGACCAGGGTGGTGCTTCAATTTGTGTGTCAAATGGTCTGTAAATTCAGGCTTCCCTTGCATCACTTCAGCAAAAATAGCCGATAGAACTTCAGACAACACGGCCAAAATGTTGGCCTCGAAGAGCACCATGGAGGCTAAGCCGGAACCGACGGCAGTGCCGTTGACGAGAGCAAGGCCTTCCTTGGGCTGTAATTCGAAGAAGTCAGATTCAATGCCGGCCAACTGGAAAGCTTCCTTGGGAGCAAGGATTTCACCGGAGGGTCCGACAGCTTTGGAGTTGGGTCGGCCGGTGAGCAGACCGGCAATGTAAGAAAGAGGGACGAGATCACCAGAGGCAGTGATTGTACCGCGAAGGGGCAAGCACGGTGTGATGTTGTGATTGAGGAGCTTGGTGATGGCTTCCAAGATCTCAAATCTAATGCCGGAGTATCCTTGAAGGAGGGTGTTGATCCTCACCAGCATGGCTGCTCTGGTCGCTGAGTGGGGTAAAGTGTGGCATGACTCTGTGCCGTTGCCAAATATCCCAGCGTTCAAAAATCTGAAATTAGAAACTTTCCTTGTAATTCAATTCTGCTAATTACGTTGCCAAAACAAACAACTCTCCAAGCTAGGATAAATTCAAGGCACGTCATCACGAAATAAAACAATCATGGAAGAAATTAGACTCGGATAAAATTTGTATAGAAGTTATCGTCGAAACTCGAAAGCTGAGACACCCTCCTAATATAAATTAAAAATTAATCACATCGTCGCAGCTTTTGTTTTTACTTTTTAATCGACCTCCAGGGCCACCAGGCCAGAGATGCAATCGTATACCCACCCGCCCAGGCCCAGCCCAGCTGACTCCACTTACCTACCCTCCAGCAAGTACTCTCTCACGTGCAAGCCACTTCAATCATTATCCCCTCGACTCCGTCTTTTTTAGTCTTCAACCAAAACACTCGATCGTGTGTCGTCTCCACAGACAATATACTAGTAACTTGCACAAAAGTTTTAATGTTGACTAATTATCCTTCTTTTTTTTTTTTTTTGGATTCACATCAAATTAAATTATTTTTAACGAATTAAGAAAGATGGCAAATAGACGTTAAGGAGGCGGACAGAGCAGATTTACGTACCTGATAAGCTCTTTCTGCAGAGCAGCGCCTTGTTTGGTTCGTCTGTGGGAGGTAGCACCGAAGCCGGTGGTGACACCGTAACTATCGGTGCCCCTGTTCATGCTATCCATGACCCAGTCACTGCTAGCCGTAACGCCGGCCCTGGCCGACTCCGAGAGCTCCACCTTAACACCTTGGTCGTGGGCGGCGATGGCCGCCACCTGTGAGATGGTGAGGGTCTCGCCACCGAGGCGGACCACCGGCTTCCGGAACTCCTCCACCATGCGCTTCACCTCGTCCAGGTGGCTGCCCTTGAGTGATTCGGCCGCTACGCCCCAGCTGAGCGGGTCAGCGGCAGCTCCTCTGCCGCCCAGGCAGAAGGTATCGGCGGCGGCGTTGACGTTCGCAACGGTTTCCATGTTGATGAATTGCAGAGTCGTAAAATGCTGTGGAGAAGATGGGAGGGAAAGAATACGAGGGCTTGCAGCTAGGCAGGGGAGAGAGGAAATCCTTGGAAAGCCTTGGTTTTCCTGAGTTGGTGAGGCGGAGGGGTTGGGCTTTTATAGTGGATTTTGGGAAGCGATCTACCTAACATTAACTATTATATTACGTCTTCGGGAGCATATTTTTAATTACATTAGTGATGACTTGATTATTGATGAGTGCATATTTTATAATTAAATGAATATTGATTTTAGTTTAAATTTAATTATATTTATTAAAATTTTATATTATTTAATTGATATTTATATATTTTTTCTCATCACTTAATTATGAAATAAAAAGAAATTTTAATACAAAATCCACTTAACAAAATTCACTCATATTTTTTATCTATATCTTTTTATCTTTATATTTTACAGAGAAAAAAAATAAACTAAATAGAATAGGAAGAAAAAGAGAAAATATATATATATATTAGAGTCCCACATCGAGAAGGAATAAAAGAATGAGCCTCCACTTTAACTATGAATACTCCCTCCATCAAGAGGAAGGTATCGAATCACTTATCTAAATACTTTAAGAATTCTCTCTAAAATATTTGGAGCTCATAGAAGCATTTTAAAAGCTGAAAGCAAGATCATTGAGGGGTTTCACAAATTATAATTATTTTTTTCTACTTCTTAATTTTCTTGTGATCATTTTTTATGATTGGGTATTTTAGAACGATTTTATTTGATTTATTATGTGTTTCTAAATTACCCAATTGGAATAAGGATGCTCCCCAATTGGGGAGCTAGTTTTCTATTTCTTTTGTTTTGACTCTTTGCATTTATATTTATGAATATTTTTTTCAATTATATTTATTTCTCTTGTTTTTCATATTGATTTAATGACTGGCCACCATTTAATCAAGTCTATGGGTAATCTTGATGGACTGGGAGGATGAAGAGAGAACCATAGATCTAGAGAAATAAACATAAATAATTAGGTTAGGGATAGTTCTAGAAATTTATAGTGACTTAAACTATAGTTTTACGGTTTAATTAGTTGATTGGGTATCGTGGGAACGAATTCAACACTAATTAAAAAAGGGACTAATAATTTGAGAGAATATTAGGATACTTTAGGAATAGTTGTCACTATAATTGATTCGAGTCAACTCAAGAGGTAGAAACTAGCAAACTATAGGGTGAATCTTAAATCTCATTACTTCAAGTGATTACGTTTTTATCATTATTATTTTCTTAATTTATTTTTATTCTTTATATTTTTATCAAAATTATCTATTTTATCTATTTTTCTCGAACTATTAATTATTTAAATTAGTAAAAGTATAATTTTTATGGGTTCGACACCTGAAATACTCTGAGTAATTTATTACTGTGATCTCATACACTTGCGAGAGCGATCAATTACGTTGGATCCCGAGTTAAATACCTGACATTTTTTACATTATTCTGAATTACTGCACACTTTTTTTTTAATAGATAATTACTACGTGCATACTTTTAAAATTTGTGTTTCGTGAAAAAACACCAAAACTTTTATTTTATTTAAAAAGGTTAAACTTAAATTTTGAATAATTCAAATCAAATGCGAACCACTTAAATTGAATGATTCATTCAAGAACTTTTTTTAAAGAAAGGGAGATATTTTAATCCTGACATTAATTTAAGATTTTTACCAAGTATAAAGTGTTCGATTAAAGGCAATTATTGCTCCTGGCCAAAAGAAGAAGTGAAAGTTGTGGTGCGCAAATTTTGATGATGTGGTTCTTCCATTCTGTGGCTTTTATAAGCTGATCTATAATTTGGAAATCTGGCAAAAATTAAAGCCCCTAATGGTCACTTTCCATTAAAATGCGGAGCACGTAAATGTCCAGAATACAATTACGTGGAAGAAAAAGAAATAAAGAATTGACAGCGTTGCTCCGCAAAACTGAAATCGTGGCTCCTATTTAATTACGATTACGAGTAATTTCAATGGGCGACTCTTGTGAATAGTCAATATATAGTGAATGTAAGAGCATCGAATTCATAAAATTACAAGCGCGCGGCCGGAGAGGCACTGTTAGATTAGAATGTGAGCGAATTAGGTTTGAACTTTTATAAAATTATTATTAAAATGTTATCCTTTAAAAATAATGAAGATAACAGATTAAATTTAAACTGTTAACATAAAATTTTAAAATATTTTATAACGTATCAAATCTGAATTATCCAAATATTAATCTTGTGGGCATTCTTCATTTCAACATTTTATTTTTGAATATAAAATAAAAGCAAAAAATTTACCTAAAACCAAATTAAAAAGACGCAATCGTTAATGTTTTTTAAATCCCGGCACTTAATCTATTTTATATGAACGTATAATGGTGTCATCGGAGTTTACAATTATAACTATATATATATATATATATTAATCATATGTTCAATTATAAAAAAAATAATACTTTAAAACGAAATAGTTCTACATCATTGAATAATAAGAATAAAATAAATGGTGAATCAGCTTCTATTTTAATAACAACAATAAAAAAAAAACGAAGTGAAGCATTAGGCACAACTAACAATACTTTGGGGGATGATGGAGGTGGATAAAATGGGGGGTTTGGTAGGTGGGGTTGCGGGGACAAAGAGGTAGCACTGGTAGGATAGAGAAGGCAGGCGGGGTTGGTGGGAAAGCAAGGGACGCCGTCGGATGGTGTGAGGCATCTAACGGCCAATATTATAGTGTGTGTTTGGATAGGTCATTAATCAATTTTTTGAAGAAAAAAAAATGATTTTGCATGAATTATCCAAACGGCAATTTTCACAAACAATCCACTTTTTCAAAAAAAAAATCAACTTTTTTGCGAAGCTAACAGAGGCAGCTTTTGCGCTAGATTGCAAAGACATATAGAAAAATTATAAAGTAGGGCTCAAAGAAAATTATAAAAGAAATACAAAATTTAATAAAAATAAAACCAAATTCTTTTCTTCTATTTTTTTTATAATAAAATTCAAACTTTAAATCTTTAAAAAAGTTATTAGTAGAATTTCTGTTAACCATCACCCTTCATTTAACACTTGTTATAAAAATAATTTAAATAAAATATTAATTGATAGAAAAAAAATAATCTAATTTAATTTAAAATTAAGAGTCGTTGTAAAGATTGTTGCAAAGGTTCATAGAGAGAGAGATTTTGTGTCATTTATTACATTTTTTATGTTATCAAAATTTTTAAATAGTGCTTAATATCTTTGCCAGATATGACTAATATTCGTGCTATCATTAAAAATTCACTTGTACATTATCATCTTCATTAGTTATTGTAAAATTGATGTTTGGTATTTAAGAATAAAATCTTTCTCTTTTATTAATTTATTTGAATTAAGATATATTGAGTTATTTATTTATGTAAATTAAAATTGTTAATATTAATATAATTAAATTTGTTATAATTAATCAGATATATAATTTAAATTATCTATTTACTTTTTAATATTAGATAAAAAATTTATCAATAAGTTAATTTAAAAGGAATGTCCTTTATGATAATTTACACCGCTAAAATTGATTTTGAGTAAATTATCCAAACATCTTTAATTCTATTAAAATTAATTTTAAAAAAATAATATTCAATAGATATATTATAATACAATCAATTATGATTAAAATTTATTATTTAATTAATTAATTTTATAATCTATTATATTCAACTAAAACCCAAACAGCACATAGTGTTCAGCTTGGGCATCTAATTTACAGCTTGTTCAGTAATTCTCACAAAGCACAAAGCATATTTAATAAATCATATTTAAAATATACTTTTATCAAGTAATGAATATTTAAATCTTTCAAGGATTTTTTGCTAAATATTGAGCTATCAAATTCCTTCAGTTTTAAATTATAAGAGATTTTGAAAAAAATTCATTTTAAATATAAAATACTTGGGTAACTAAAATTTCATTAAATATATTAATTTTAATATTATATTTTCGCTCTCTATAATTAGTTTTATATCCATTTTCTTTCATATATTAAATGATAGATAATTTTTCAAAGTTTATATTTTTATCTTGAAAAGATAAGGTTGTTAAGTATATTAATATTATTGATATGTGGATTTTATTTAAAAGTATCTTATAAATTGGGATAGAAAAAGTATAAACTGTATAAACACACTGTCTATATCCAACATAGACGGTACATGTTTAATGTTTTTTAACTTATAATAAACTTATTTTTTAATAGAGTGATAATTAAGAGATTATCTTTATCTTCCTTTTTACGTCTAATAAAATAAAATATTTTTAAAATATAACAATAATTCATACTCTTTCTATCCCAATTTATAAGATAATCTTAGCTAAAACCATACTGCATACCAATATATTTAATAGAGTGAAATTAAGAGATAATTTATCTTTTTTTTCGTCTAAAAAATAAAATATTTTTAAAATATAATAATAATTCATACTCTTTCTATCCCAATTTATAAGATAATTTTAGCTAAAACCATACTGCATTCCAATATATTTCATTAAATAAAATTTATAATTTTTTTTTAAAAAATAGAATACAAATTTTTTAAAAATACATTTCATTTAACGTAACTTTGTTTGTAAAACCATTTAATAAAAAGAGAAAAGAATATAATAAGCATGAAAGCGTAACATGAAAAAAAGTATACATAATAAATCATTGTTTTTATCAAGCTATCTTATATCTCCAAACACTAAATAAATCACCTTCCCAATTATCCTGTAAACTACTTCTATATCCTAATATATAAAGTATTTTTAATAAAATCACATATATCAATAAAAATTATTATTTAGTTAAACTCTCATTAAATAACAGTAATTTTTCAACTTTGCCTCTAATTAATATCTCTTTTATTTTTAAAAAATAAAAATAAAATTGTTTGATTATTTAAAAATAGTATCGCACCCCTTATGTATATAGAGACGCAAGGAGTAGGATGCAGAGATTGGTGCTCGTCCAAAAAACTTGCCAAGGTTCCCCCATTCACTTTCAAACTCGAGCAGCTGTTTGATCTAACAAAAAAAAAAAAAAAATGGAGTAGTATATGTGTTTGGCATTTTTTTTAA